GAATTCAGCCTTGTGAGCACAGAAACCCTGCTGGTGTCTGTCTCTGTCTTGCTCTGCAGAGCTCTGTGGGTGTTTGTCTTAACTGAGAACCACCACTTGCAGGATGTGATCCCTGTGTGCCCTGGACCACCACCCCTACCAGAAAGCCATGGTTTGAGCTGCACGTTTTCAGAAAAAAAAGAGGGAGTAACCATGCAGCCTGAAAATAGCAGTTCACCATGCAGCCAAGGGCTGCTGGGGCTCAGGGCATGCTGGTGCTCAAGCCCCTCCTGTGCCTCATGCAGGCCAGTGTTCCCCCAGCCCAGGGCTCTCTGCCCCCAAAGGTGGTCACTGTTGACTGAGAACGTGCCTTGCCCATTAAATGCCCAGTTTAGCCTGCCTTTCCTTCCAGTGGTGGCACCTGTGCCAGTCTGCAGTGTCACTAACCACTGCGGGGGGCCCAAGGGCTTTGGCTGCGGGCTGTGCAGCCACGGCAGCCTGCAGCTTGCCCAGGTACCCTGAACTTGCCCAGCAGCAACCCCAGCCTCTGGATGGCTCCTGCAGGCTTCTGTGGGACCGTCTTCCAGGTAGGGAATCCTCTCCTTATGTTCCCCTCTGTCCTCGTACCTCTTTGTTGTTCCTTCTAAACGCCAAATGGCATTATTTTAAAAGCCTAATGTAAGGAGAAGCAGATGGGCACAACCCAAATGCCGATACTCACACGGACTGCCTTTATTTTGCAGCTCTGTAGAGTTGTGCTGTGCTGGTGCCTTGAGTCCTGCTTGCAGCTCTGGACCTCGTGTCTGCAGGAGGACATAGCGGAGTTAGAGAAGGGCACTAATGGGAGTTGGGATGGAGCAGCAGCGTGCCAGGTGAGGCGGCTCCGTTTGGCGAGGGAAGGGCAGAGGTGAGGGAGGATCCAGCCCTGCTGCGGGCAGGAGCTGGCAGCACATAACCTCTAGAGGTCCCCTGCAGCCCGAATTTGTGACTGTTGGGACGCTCGCTGGCGGTGCGCGCCGAGCTGCCCGTCACCAAAGCGCTCACTCGAAGGAAATGGGCTCAAAACATCTAAAATCTACACGGAGCAGGTTTCTTACAGAGCAGGTACTAAACTTCAGGTTTTTTTGGTTTTTTTTTTGCCTCGGGTTGTTGAGGTGGCCGGTGTCAGCAGAAGGTTTTGCGGTTGGTTTGGGTTTTTTTAAGGGTAGATGCAGGGAGAACGGGTCCATAAGGAAATCAGTCGCATTCGGTTGGTGGTGGATACGGGGCGGAGGGAAGGGAGCAGAAGGCTCCGCCGCTGTTAGCGGTGTCTGTGGAGCGAGGGGCGGAGCTGCCAGAGGCTGTGGCGGGGCTTTCCCACACCCCAGGGCTGGGAGAAGGGGTGGAACGTGACCTTCAGCTTCCCGCATGGCTGCAGCGCTTGGGAAGGAGGTGTCAGCGTTGGGAAGGGGCGGCTCAGGGAGGTTATTTGTTACCAAATGTCCAAATGTCCCCCAGCAGAGCTGGGAAAGCCGCTTCATTCACTCCAGCTGAAAGCTGTGCTTTGGCGTTAACCCTTGTGTGGCTGCTGCGGAGCATCCATGCTGTCGTGTCTGGAGAGCAAATCCTCCAGGGGCTCAGGGGAGCAGCGCAGTGTGTGAGGGTGAGCTGGGATTGCAGCTACACACTTGGGAACAAGCAGCAGTGCTCTGCACGATGTGGCTGCTGTGCCTGGGGAGCTGCCTGGGCTCGGGACACTGAGCAAATGCTTGGGTTTGGGAATGCAGTGGGTTCATCCCAGTGCTCCTGTGGCATATGCTGGGCTCCTGGCCTGCACTGCTCTGGACCCGCTGGAGCACAGATCCTGTGTTGGCATCTTGGGCGGGGCTGTGACGTGAAGCACTAGGGTGCTGTGAGGTTTGTGGGAAGGTCACATGAATGTGAGGAGCCAAGGGCATCAGGGCATGTTTTCCTGTGGGAAACAGGGAGCCCTGGCAGTGGTCCAGCATGCCCCTGTGTTCCAGCAGCAGGAGCAGCATAGAAGTCAGCCTGCTGCTGAAGGTGATGGGGCCATGCAGCATGCGCTGAAGGGCGCAGCTGCTGCACTTGCTCCAGGGAAGAACAAAAACAATGGGATGATGTTGAGTGCCACAGCCAGAGAGATGCCAAGCATCCAGGGCCTGTGCCAGGACAACAGGACACTGCAGAGGTGGATGCCTGGACCGGGGACAGGATTTGTGCCTGAGCCTTGTTGTGTTGGAGGCACAAGGGAGCTGGGGTGGGCTTGTGGGCAGCAGCAAGGGAATAAAACATGTCTCTCTCTGCAGCCCCTGGGGCATGCCTGTGTTCGGGACTGGGAGAGCTGCCTCAGCAGCCAGGGACACTGAGTCCTGCCTCTGGTGTTTGCTTCCCAGAGCTCGCCAAGTCAGCACTGGGGCTTGGCTGGCTCCAGGCAGCATAAGGAAGCTGGGAGGGTCTGGGGCAGTTTTGGGAGAGCCACAGTGATGCTGTGAATTGGGTGCATTTTGGAAGACAGAGCTCTCCCCTTAAGGCTGGTAACAAGCCAGGGCGGTGCTCAATGTGGGGCAGTGCACAACCTGCTCCTGTCCTGTGGATCTGGGAGTGGGAAACAGTGACCAGGATACAGTTACCTTTCCAGAGTGACACACAGCCCTGGCTGCTGCACACCTGGGATGGCAAACTGCCCCAGCGACACCCAAATCTCTCCTGAAGCTCAGCTCCCCTCCCTGCTGTTCCAGCCAGGCCCCTGCCAGCTGGCACAGGCTCCCTGCTCCCCCCCTTGTGCCAGCTCCTCTCCCCGTGTGCCTCTGTGAGTGCTCGTGTGCTGATGCTGCAAGCAGGAATGTGGGAATATGCCCTTAAACCTGAGGCAGAAAGAGCGTGGGGATGGGGAGGAACGGGTGTAATTGAACTGGGAAATGTGTGTAACATGCCATGGGCTGGATGTAGAGTGCCCCAGAACTGTCAGGGTGCTTTGCTTAGGAGTGTGCTAGTGACAACTTGAGCCTGCTCAGTAGCCTGGCTTTGGAAAACAGCTGCGGAATGAGAAGGTCAGGGATTGAAAATACTGTAAGGATGGCAGGAAGGGCTGGAAGGGAAGGAAGACGCACACCCTGCTGAGAAATGTGGTCTTGAGGGGGGTTTTTTGAGCCATGGCAGGAAGAAGCTGGAACTGAAGAGAAGGCTGTCATGCTGGACTGCTGCAGTTAGATGGTACCTTGGAAGCAGGGAGCAGGAGGGGCTTCAGGATGGGGGGGTCGGGGGGGACATGGAGCACTGTCCCGGCCAGGCACTCGGCCTGGAGTGAGGAGCACCAGAGCCAGGGCCAAAGCTGGAACTGGTGGAGAGGCAGTGAGTGCATGCTGGGTGACTCCCTTGCCTGCCCAGCACCTCTCATGTCACCTTTCCAGGGGTCTGGCACAGAGCAGCTCCCTGGCAGCCTCTGGGTAAAGCCAAGCCAGGTCTTGGGTGAAAAGCACGACACCAGACTGAGAATCCAGGACAACTTTCTTTATTGCTACCAGAAGGCTTTCACCAGTACAATGGCTCTGGATACGATACCTTCCTCAGGGCTGTGGAGAGAGCTTACAGTCGGGACAGGGTGTTCTGAGAACAGGGTGTCACATGGAGGAGACGCAGTAAAGGTCAGACTCTTGGTTAGAAGTTACATGAACACAAAACTCGAGGGTCAGGGTGTTGTTTTGGTTCTGTGCCCGATGTTGACACACGTTCCAAACCTCAGGTGTCTGCAGCCGCCCAGCACCTCACCCAGCAGTGCTGGGAAATGTGCAGGGAGAACCAGGCTCTGCACTATTCAAATGGAGACAACTAAGCCTTGGTGAGAATCCACACTGATTGCACACAGCAAGAAAAAACAAGGTTTCAGTTCTACTGATGAAAAACCCAGTAATTGCTTTCTGTGCTGGGAGAGGCAAACTAGTGTAACAGGGAGAAGTCTCTGTGCAGGGCACAGAGCACCTTTACACTCCTGTGGAAATTACTGAAGTGTGGAGCAGCTTGCAAGCACTGGTTGGGGTTGTTTTCCTGCCTAATCTTGTGTTTAAATCCAGTTTTTCAATATTATCATGTTTAAACACCCAACTATAAAGGAAAGCGGTTTTCTGTTTAAAAGGGCAAAAGAAAGCTGTGGTGGGAGGTGGGGCAGGACAGAATGTCATGCACGAGACTGACCAAGAACTAAAAGAGGAGCAGGCAGAAAGGGAGCAAGGAGCGGGAGAGAATGGGATCAGAGAGGCATTAGTTGGCTGGGAAACCTGGAACAACTCCACAGGGCTGATGTGTGAGCTCTCAGATGTGGAGAATGGGTTACAACACACAGGAGCAGAGAAACAGTGGAACCGACAACACTAGAAAGGAACAGGTTTTTGCTACTTTTTTTGTTTGGTTTTTGGGTCTTTTTTTAGATTTTTATACTTTTTTGTGTTTTTAAGTGCTTAAATAGTGGAACTATAATTAGCCGCACAAGAAATAAAATTCAAAAAGGGGTTGGGATTTTTTTTTTTTTTTCCCTGGTTTTCTTTTGGCTCCCTTCAGTTCAGCCTGACAAGGTAAGGCCCCTTCTCGCCCCGCTGAGGCCACGGGCTGCCGGGTCCCGTGGTGGCACTCGCAGCTACATGACAGACACCGGCTGCAGAGGCGGGCAGGGGGACACGCTGCCCTCCTGCCGCGAGACGTCGGCGCCGCAAACGGAGCCCATGTTCTCCAGGGCCGCTGCCTCCGGAGCCAGGTCTTCGTTGTAGAGGCGCTTGATGCCATCGTAGAAGTCGTCCACTTCCATCTCTTCCACCTTGCGCTTGGCGGAGCCTGGCTTGCAGCCGCTGGCGGGGGCGGGCAGGCGCGGGCAGAGCGCGGCTGTAGCTGTGACGGGCGCTTCTGGCCGGCCGTTGTCCTGGGAGAAACCCGGCCCTGGGACAGAGGAGGGCTGGCGGTGGAACGCTCCTCTGTTACAGGTCACCAGGGTCTGCTGGAGGGGACTGTAGACATATACAGAGTTGGGCAGCAGAGAAGGCTGCAGAGTGGAAAGGTGATGTGCCACCAGCTCCCGGCAGTGGATCAGCTGCGAGCTGTCCATCTGGAGTGGGAAGACAAGCAAAGGTACGGCTGCTGTGGGATCGCTGACAGGGTGACAGGGCACAGGTTCCCAGCACTCCAGCGACCTGGCCACCTCACTTGGCAACAATGTGCTGCTGACCCCTGCCACGGTGACTTCCCCAGATACACCCCCTGCTCCTTCCTGCACCTTGTGGGGGGAAGGAGGCAGAACTTGGAGATACTAAAGTACTTCACTGTGTGTTTTTTGTAGCTGGAGTGTGCTCCCAGAGTACCTGCAAGGTTGCCTGTATGCTGTGAATGAATGGAGGGGAGCCACTAACAAGTGGAGTTTTTCCCTGGTGTGTTTTCTCCCTGGTGCAGCACAGGCCTGTGTCCATCAGGGCACACGGCTCCTCCCATCACGCAGTGGAGGTGGTCAGGACTGAGACCTGGCGGCACTGTCCCTGCAGCTGTCACTCCAGGCTGAGGCCCAGCTATCCCCACACGAGCAGAACGGCAGGCAGCAAGGAACAGCAAAGCCCTGGCGGCCTGGAGCGCTGAGCAGCATCTGGCCCCGGTCCCTCCCCACTCCGTGTGCACTGCCCTCCTCACCTGTGCCTTCTGGAGCAGCTCGATGATGAGAGCCAGCCAGTCGGGGAGCAGCTTCTCCAGCTCCAGGCTGACGATGGCCAGCGCCAGCATGGAGCCCTTGAACTGCAGCAGCTGGAAACAGGCCATGCAGTGCAGCAGCTGCTTGGTGAGCGCCGCCACGTGCTGCGAGGGGCTCGGCGTGGGCAGCAGGGCCAGGAGCTGCGGCCTGCTGGACACCGCCACGGCGTGGAACTGCGGGACACAAGCACAGGGGGCAGCTGGCAGCGCTGGCCAGGCCGTGGCACGCCTGGGGAACAGCTTACACACGCAAGGGTTCTCCAGCCTAACCCTGGAGGCAACTTCTGCCCCGTGGGGAAAAACCCGATGTGCCGAACCCACCAAAGCTTGGTGCAGCCCTTCTGGTGGGACCTCCTTAGGCACGAGGCTCTAGGGCTCTGTAAAAGGTGTTCCCATCTACCCTTCTCTCTCCAGTGCACATGTAGCAGTCAGGGGTCCTAGACAAACTTCTCAGGGAAGGAGTGAGGAAAAATTCCACAGAGAACTTCAGGACATCTCCCTTGACCTCTCGTGCATGCATCCTGGCTCTTGGCCATGCAGGTGTGCAGCAGGCATGGATCCACACGTACAGCCCACCCGTGGGGCTTTCTCTGTGCCTGCACTCCTTCTTTCCCTGCTGTCTGGTGTTTAGCTTTGAGGAAAACCATTGGCAGTAAAGAGTTACGAGCACAACTTTCAGGAGCTGTGAATCTATGGCTGAACACACCCCAGACCAGACCAAAGGGTGAGACAGGAGGCTCACGTTTTGGATATTGCACTTCAATATCCAGAGTGACAAGTCTCCTCTGGAATTCTCTGGCAAAGCATCTTCTTTCAGAAACCACAGCTACAGAGGAATTCCAAATATATTCCAAGGTCTTTGTTCCCCTACAGGTAGAATTTTTGTCTGGGTGCTTCTTGACGCATTATTTGCACTGGCAGACAGAACATCAATAGCTCTTTACTTACAATATGAAGGAAATCCAGTGGCGTTGCCATGTGAAGATCCCAGTTCAGTTTATCCAGGATGATCTTCTCCATTCTGCGAATTTCAGCTGGAGAACAACCACAAAAGCTATCCCGAGCCAACACTTTGAGTACTGGAATCCTCTGCAAAAACCGAGGCAAAAAAAGAAAGGAGAGAACCAGTCATTAGAGAAATCACTCCAAATGCTTTGTTCCTGTCCTGGTAAGCGGCAGCCAGCAAGAGCAAGCAAAGGTAGGGCTGGGAGGGAAGACAGTCCAACAATGCCACAGTGAGAAGAACAGAGTTACCTCATCTTCCTCAATGGTCTTTGCAGCGAGGAAGAAGCAGCTGATTGCAATACAGTTCAGGTACTTGGGACGGGCCTGTGGGACAGGAGAGCAGAGAGAGCTCTGTCAGTGTGATGCAGCAGTGATGCCCTGATCTTTCTGTTGGGGCATCCCAAGCCCCCCAGGGTCTCCTTCTGGATGTGCAGGCTGACCTCTGGCTACACCCTGGCAGTGGCAAGCTGTGCCAAGCACAAATCCCTGCTCCATGACGTCAGGCAGGGCATGGATCTGCCAGCCTTGTGATCTGAGTGGGCAGCACTGGACTGGAAAGAGCTCGGGTTTAGGCACTGCAGCCTAACTGGCAAAGAGAAAATCCTGAGGGGAGCTCGTCCCCTCACAGAAAAGCCACTTCACCTGCTGCAGCGGAGCTCTGCTCTGAGTGCTGCCGTGGTCAGACACGGAATGGGAAGGGAAATGGGAATTGGAAAACACTGTCTTTGCCTGGGGAAGTGTAACTCACAAAAACTTTAAAAAAAAACCCTTGTGAAATTAACACTCGTAATTTCACACTACTGTTCCCAAAACTGTGGCCCAGGGATTAGTGAGGGAGAGCTGGTTCCTTCCACAAGCAAGCAGATGGTTTTTAGGCAAGGTAAAAGGAATTTGGAGGCGAAAGGGGGATTTTTTTGGTGAGCTTTGTGCATGTGAGCACCTTGACAAGAGGCTTCACTCCCACTGGCAGTGTAACAACCACTGGCTGTGGCCACATCCTCCGGAGTGGCTGGGGCTGGAAAGGCAGAGGCTATGCCTAAACCCTGGCACAGCTGCAGAGCTGAGAAGCTTCTGACAGCTGAGCTCTCCTGCCTATGGTCAGAGATGCTGAAGGCAAAGGGAAATGAAAATCCTGCACTCACACCCTGCACTTGTGCGTGCAGGTGTCCAAGGGAATGAATTCCTTTAGGGCAGGACTGGGACTGGGCCCTGCTGAGGGTGCTGTGCAGTGATTCACAGCACCAGTAACAGCCAGTCTTTGCAATCCCCAGGTCTGTTCCTGGGGAAGGGACTGGTGGTGTTCATAATAAAATCCCATCAAGAAGCCCCTGCTAGAAAACCAGGATTTCAGCTGCATCAGAGGAAGGAGCTTTGTGGGAGAGGAAAAGTGGGCAGGGAGCAGAAAGCCCCAGAGCTCACCCAGGCAAAGGCCCTTTCCCCCTTCCTGCTCACTGCCCAAAGCAGTGGGCTCTGGACTCACAGTGCCACACGCCACACTTTCAGTACAGACTGGCGGCTGCTCCAGCTTGCTGGAAGAAAACCTGCACTTCAGGGCATTGGCTCTTGAGGGATCTAAATCTTTGCCACCTCAGCATTACAGTAAATCAGCTGCTTTGGATTCTTAAAAATAATAACTTCCCTGGCTTGCACGAAGACATGATCAATATTTATTAATATTTAAGGGGTGAGTTAATGAATTATGTCACTTGTGTCCTACCAAAGTCTCTCACATGGGAAAGCAAGGGCATAGGCTTGGAATGCATCCTCCAGCTGCCATCTCCTAAGGGATACTGCTTGCCCAACAGGCTGGTGGTGTGGTGTGAGACACGTGCAGATGAGGCCACGGATTGCTGAGCACGCAATGTAACCGAGCAGATGTGGTAAGAGAGCCTGCCAAAGCCTGACTTCACGGCTGCAGCCCAGGGGTTCCAGGTTGGAGCACACTGTGTGGTCACCTGGCAGGTGCAAAGCACAGCTATAGGGGCCAGAGGGGCAGCAGGGCCCAGCTGCAGGGAGCCCAAATGTTCTTCCCCCTTTCTAAGCAGCTTCTATGGAGGAGCAGCCTGAAACCCAAAGGAGCTCATCCACTCCAGTTGGGTTCAGCAAAGCAGGAAGGCACAGCTGACACATGGACAACCTGCACCTGTGTTTGCTTCCCTTTCTCCTTCCCACCTCTTGGCCATCAGTCCAAGATGGAGTCCATCAGGCTGTAAAGCAGCTTGGTAGGGAACTACTCCCCCAAAAGCCATTGTCTGTATTTCAGCTTTCTTCACCCATTTTTCTTCCCCAGTTTCCTGCACCACCCCCTTGCTAGGCTCAACCTGTCCTCAGTTTTTTTTCCAGCTGGTTTCCTGCTAGCAGGTGCCCCAGCATTTTAGGGTGGTACAAAGGGGCAGAATGCAGCCACAGAGGTGAGCAGGGCCTGTCCCTGGTGTTGCTGGCCTGGGGCTCCTGGGCACTGCCTTTGCCTTCCCGAGTCAGCCCAGGCTCTCCGAGTGCCCAAAGCCCCCCAGCTGTGGCTCGAGCACAGCAGGTGCTGCCCACCCCGGTGTGAGCAGGGCGAGGCGGGGCCGGGGGAAGGAAGCATTTCTGTTTGCCTGCACTGCTCACACCAACCGTGCGCCGGGGCAGCAATCTGTTCCAGTCTGTGGCGCTGCAAATATTTACCTTTACTGCTGCTAAAAACCTGTCCAAGAGGCTGATGGCCAGGGCAAGCGTTTCTGGGTAAAGGTGGAACTGGTACTTGAGCTTGGCCAGCCACTGGATGACCTCATCCCTCTGCCTTGGAGAAATGGCTACATCCTGGGGGAGAGAAAGGATCAAAGGTGTTACCTTTGCATGAGTGACTCAGCACAGAAACAAAGCCTCCTTTGGAAAGGGGGAGCCTGGAGCTAGTGCCAGTCACCACTCTGTTCCTGCAGTTACTTACCCCATCCCAAAAACCTGCCCTGGAAAAGACAACTTTCCTTACAGCAATCTCAAACCTCACTCCAGTGTCACTGTCCTCTTTTCTGGGGAAAAGAGGATGGGTGACTTGTAGTTTGTCAAGCACTGGCACCCTTAGCTCCAGAGTAGTTCCCAGAACTTTTTATTTAGTTATTATTTTTTAACTTGCTCAGTACCATGTGGGTGTACAGCAATTCCCAGCTGGAACAAAAGACCCCCTTGGCAACAGCAGAGTGGAGGGAGTGTTGGGGTTTTGTGCAGAAAGGTTTATTTTTTTCCTCAAATTATGGGGACTTTTTTACCTCATACCTGTTACAATAAAGAAAATTGTAAACAGCTGACAAGGCTGTCAGTAGCTCAGGTACCTGGGAATGGGGAGGCAGCAGCTACAGTTTTACCTGCAGTTTGGGTTTGGTGTTTGGCCTGTGTCTCCCCCATTGATCGGTTTGGACCGCAGCTGAATTTCAACCACACGCACAGCTCAGACATTGACACAAGATCCTTCCCTGTGACCCAGTCCAGAAATATCTCCTGCTTTCCTGGAGCCTTTCACATCACCCAAGGAACTGTCTGGTCTCACTCCAATGGGGATTATTGGGGATGATCAGCCCGGGTGTGTCCAGAAGCATGAAAAGCCGGGCTGTAACTGCCCCCAGTAATGCCATGAGGGCAAAGCATCAGGAATTTAGATAAAAAGCACCCCAGTACTGACACCAAATAAATACTTTAGGCTGCATCTACCACTGCAGCAGCTAGGTGTACCTTGCATGGACAGTAACAGTGCCCATGTTCTGCCCTGAGCCCTGGCAGTGCCCCGGAGTCACCAGCACTTTCTGCTGCTCCACGTGGGCCCCTGCCCTCCGCTGCTGCTCAGCTACAGCCTGGCTCTTGAATAACAAGTACCTGCTGTTTTCTCCAAGGAACACTGGTTCTTTCTAAAATCACCGATGTAGTTCCAGGGTGAAATGTGAGCCCCGCTGGGGGCGGCAGGGCCCAGGAGCACGATGAGCACACCACATTCCAGGAGAGGTTACTGAATGCTCTGCTCTAGGTGCTCCTGAGAGTGGGAAGGGACCTGGGCTGTATCCAGGGGAAGAAAGGGGAATGCTCGAGGAGGGGGTGGAAATGGCACCTGTGGTGTTCCTGCTGGGGAGGGAGGGCTCTGCCTCAGCAGCCTGGAAGGATTTCAACACCACCCCCCCCGCCCCCAGCCCCAGCTTCCATCCCTGGCAAATCCCGTTCCTGCTGGATCCCACCAAAACAGGCAGCAGGTGAGGTGTTCCCCTAAGAACAGCATGGCTGGGAAGAGTTAAGACTCTCTTTGTGCTGCCTACTCCAGACCCTATATGCAGATAAAGGAGGATGGCAGAATCCCCTCACAGGTTGTTACAGCCTGGTTCAGGACAGGCAGCTTCCCACACAACACCAGGCTCTATCCCTTTCTCTCAGAGGTGTCCCTGTGTGTGACACCCTCAGAACACAAATAACAAAATGCAGCACAGGAAAATTAATTAAGCAGCGAGGTCACTGATCCTTAGTTAATTGAAATTAAAAGCAAAACCGAGACACTCTGGGGGCTGAAAGTGAGAAAGTCCCTTTGGGTGGAAAGTGAAGGTTCCTCCTTGGGGCAGAGGTACTTTCTGTGTGTCATCCCTGCTCCAGACAGGAGAACCAGGGGCCAAGATGTGGGTGCTCCTGGAGGGCAAGCACAGAGCAGATCA